GGTGCGAACTGGACGCCGAGTGGACCTGGACAAGGAAGCTTGAGCGATCCGGCTGGATTCGATCCGAGCAGGAGCGCAGCGCAACTTTGGGAGACCAAGGTTGAGGTGCATCCTGACACACCTGCGGACGACCCGGTTTTCAAGCTGTTCCCTGGAGCTAGGCATGCTGAACGGTAGACGCTGCGGGGCTGTCCAGGCGGACTCGCGCGGCGTTTGAGGTGTGCTCTAGGGCTTCACGAGGGTCAGTTCGTTCTCCACGCGTGAATACCGGGACGATCAATACGCAGGCAAATGCGTTCGGGATCGTGTGGCCAATTCATAGAACCAGCGTTCTCGTATTTCCGCTCAAGACGACATAGATGTTCTTCTTCCCCGCTATCTCGTCGCTCCCGTGAACTTCCCGAAATTCCCATATCTCTTCTGTCATCTCGTCTCCACACGCGTACTGTCTCACAACGAAGGAGCCGCTTCAAGTCGTACCCTCCAGCTCGGAACGCATATGGGCGTCGTCGTCTGCCACGGCAAGGGAGCACAGTTCTACGTCAAAGGCGCCAGCAAGATCTTGTTTGACAAGGGTCGCAGCCATGTAGTCGTTCACAAGCCAGGGGAGGGCGAAGGCGGCAACGAGGATGAGATCGAGACGGCTGGATTCAACGACGATGATAAGGAGAACGTTTCGAGGACTATCACTTTCTACGCTGGCCAATCACTCCGGACTATCGCGATCTGCTACAGGGACTTCGAACACTGGCCACCCACCGATGCAGCTCTCGGTGAGGACGGCGAGGTAAGCCTTCATAGTTGTGGTGTCGCGTACGCGCGAGATTGATTACAATACCACCAGATCCCCTACGACACCCTTGCGCGCGACCTTTGCCTTATCTCCATCACCGTTATCGAGGATCCCCTCCGTCAAGGCGTCCGCAAAGCCGTCGCAGACTGCATTCGTGCCGGCGTCCAGGTCAAGATGTGCACCGGCGATAACGTTCTTACGACTCTCAGCATCGCACGTCAGTGTGGTATCTACTCGCCCGGTGGCATCGTCATGGAAGACCCTGTATTCCGCTCTCTCCCGCCGCTTGTTCAGGCGCAGGTCGTTCCCCGTCTTCAGGTTCTCGCTCGCTCCAGACCCGAGGACAAGCGCGTTCTCGTTGCCACGCTCAAGCGCCTCGGCGAGGTTGTTGGTGTTATTGGCGACGGTACCGACGATGGTCCCGCGCCGAAGACGGCCGACGCTGAATTCACCATGGGTATCGCCAGCACAGAAGTCGCGAAGAAGGCCAGTGATATCATCCTCATGGACGGTAACTTCGCCAGCATCGTCAAGGCTGGCATCGTGTGGGGACGTGCGGATAACGACGCTGTCCGCAAGTTCTTGCAGTTCTAGGTACGGGTTTGCTTCTTATCCTCTCATATCTTAGACTGACAAGCTGTATAGGTTAGCACTCGTTGGCATCACCAACGGCGACGATCGCAGAGACGGGTGGTGCGGGCCGGAAGAACTTCGCGCGAGCAACCTAAGCCCTGTAGTCTGTTCAGTTTGAATATACCTCCATTGTCAATCGTGGCCTGTCTGCCGTAGCCGCCGTGCTTTCTACTTCCTCTGCTTAGTAGTCTGGTTGTCCTCTTGATGACGCAGATACTGCATTCCCGCCGTCGACGGTGCCTGAGACCTGAGGGCTGAAGATCGGTCTGCGCCGTTGCTTAGGAGTAGTGCCGCATGCTGATCCGGACAGCGTCACGCTTGCTGGCAGATCATTGATAAGATCGAAGCCGGCTTTACAATCTAGGGCCTCGTGGGCGCATGTTGCAGTAGCAAAGTTACAGTAGCCTGGCAGGTACATAGATAGACGAGTTGGTTTTCACCTGGCGTAATATAGGCGGGATCATAAATGTCTGAGGAGAAGCGTGCCATTCTTAGGCGTCGCGCTCCCTCGGTTGATAGCCCCGTGCTATCAACCCTAACCTGAACTGTCACATCTTTCGCACATGACACTTCTCGCGGCGTTCCCCGACGGCTCTCCCCCCACATTGATGCTACAACAGTTCTCAAAGTCGTCTCACGAGAGCTGCGCTGCGTACGCTGGTCTCGACTCAATAATACTCACGCACAGTGCGCACCGCAATGCTTCAAGCTTCAAGCTTTCTTCCTATCTTCCTTGAGCTGTACCCTCACGAGGCATCGCAATGACTCCGAACCTCCCATTTCATCCTGGCTCATGCTGCCGTCCTTCTATGGGCTGTGGTCAGGGCGGCCTGTGAAGTACAGTACGCCCTCCTCGCGAATTTTTAGCTCGGGGACTCGAGGTAGGATCTTGGAGACGTTAGTCCAGAATCCAAGTCTTGTGGGAAAAAAGACTGGAAGCTGGATGAGTAGTGCTCGACTTTTTGGGAAGACAGCCATATGCGCACGATCAACACCGCATGCAAGTTCACGTGCACGTTCGACTTGTGCTGCCCGCGTCTAAGTTTTCCTTGACTCTGCTCATCGGCCATCGCTCGTGGCGTGCTATCGGCCCTATCAGTTTGCTCTCTACCCGTGCTAATCACTGCACGCATACTCTTGTTCCTCGCTGTCACTCTGTACGCCATCTTAAATGGAGTCTTCGGTCGAACCCAACTGGGTAGTCGTGCGAGGCTTTCGCACTGGCGTGTTCTCAGCGTTTGATGCCGAACGTTTCACCCGCAATATCCCGGACGCGTATGCTGTACGCTTCAACGGCGAGGGTGAAGCGTATCACTATTGGGAGAACGCCTATTCTCATATTCAGGCGAGGATCCCTGACGGATGGTGCTTCAAGCATGTGAATATGCGCACTCGTGCTCGCAGCAGTGTCCGCTAACGCCGATCAGCTACAGGACAGCCTCGAATTATTTCTGCGCCCTAACGACTTGTCAGGAGCCGTTCGCATTGGCGAGCTGGCAAGAAATGACGCGACCTCGGGCCCCCGCGTGTATCGTGACTGGGATGCGCTACCCGACGTCCCTCCGTTCTTCCCGCGCGGGGCCGGTCGATCCGGGTGCGTTCCCGCGCCCTCCATCCTGCACTCTGAAGCTACATCCTGGACCGTAACGTCCAGCTCCCTGAATGCGGGCCGCAGGTTAGACTCTGTAGAGCACGCGGATCCTCACCAATACACCGCCGCTAGTACGGCCAGCCCTCTCGACTTCTACCTATGCGCACAGCCTCGTACGTATGTGGATTAACGCATGAAATGTGTTGCTTATGTTCTCGTAGCTTCTTCGACGGCTTCCCCAACCCACTCTGCCTTCACGGCGCAAACCGATGCGTCGTTCTCCACGCCTGCGCATTGCTCACGGCGAGGTCCTCAAGGTGCAGTGAGCTCTCGCAGCAGGTATACCAGCCGCTAATCTTTGAGACTGCGTAGCGGCTTCCTCCCTTCCCCAACGACTACAATTCAGCCAGCCAAGCAGTTATGCCATCGAGCGTGCTCCTGTTACGCAGTGCCCATCGCCCACCCTATCTGAGCACACAAGTACATGGGAACGCTTTGAGACTATGTCACTCTCTGACTCTGACGCGGGTATCCGTGACACGGACGCATCTCTCTCCATCTCGCCCCCGCCAGTACAGGCATCCTCCTCGCTCGGCGCTTCAACTGGTAGCAGTCAAACGTTCCCATCGTACGCACTCACCTTCCCATATTTGTCTCGTTCACGTGGTGATTTCTTCGTTACGTACGTCAGCGCGACATATGCCTCTGGTGAATCTACGCACAATGACGAGAGCGAGACGGCCTCAACAGCCACGCTCTTACCCAGGGAGCAGAGAGCGGGCCCATTAATTTCAATGCGCTCTGGCTCGTACAGCGGGGATGCTAAGAAACGGACGCAGTCTGTTGTCTCACAGCCGGCCTTGCAAATTGGGCTGTCGTCTCGTACGTTGCAAGCGGTACCTTCAGATTCGACACCAGTGGCGAGTATCCCGTCTTCGGCACAGCAAGCGCCGCCTTCGACATTGGCGCCAGGAGCCAGACCGCCACAGCGCTTACAAGTGAAGGCGAACGTTGGTAAGAGAGGCTCTACGCCAGTACCTCTTTGGGCATGGGACCGATCTGTGCATAGCGGGCGTGGTTATGTGATGTTTAAACGGGAAGAGCTTCGCGATATACCGAGCGCGATTGGAGGAGGCCGCCCCGCCTATTCCGGGCCGATCCCTAGACCGTCTGATGGACCTTGGCTTGATGCTCCTCTCTGGCCGTTTGCCGTTGTCGGACGCGGTCGTGCACCTGGCATCTACGCAAAGGAGTAAGCTGTCGTAGCTCTTGGTATTCTGATGCATTGCTGACACTTCTTTTGTAGAGAAGATGCGGGAGTCGCCCGTGGGGATTTCGGCTGGTGGCGAACACTTGGTTGGCCATCGGCGTATGCGCTCCTACAAGAGGTCATTACGCGCGGCCGCATCGAGGTTCGGCCCTAAACTACGGCAGATCACTGCGTCGTGGCCCATGCCCGAAAGGTTTCCTAGGGTTATCGAGCTATACTGTATCTGATACCCATATGCATCTGCGATGACGTTGACGTACACTCCCGAATGGAAGAGTTGTACGGTAAACTTGAAGGCACCAGGACTCAAGTACTCAGAAGCGAGCACGATGATGTGACGGCGCATATAACCAGCAAGCAACGTGTCGAGACAGTAAGTTTAGGCAGCAAGCCGCCCTGCGCACCCGTGGTATGGCAGGCGGAGTCTAGGGAAACTCTAGGCATTAAGATCGCAGCAGGGAGAGGTCGATGAAGTGCTTGGTTTGCTTCTGGGCTAGTTGTGCCTACGCTCGGGGAAGCGTACTTTCTTACTTCAACTCAATAACACTCTCTGGGTTCTCGTTATCCACATACAGGCTACACGGTTATTCTACATTAGAAGACGCAAGGGGCGATCGATCATTTTAGTCGCTACGTGTACAACACACACCGACACGATGCTCACAAAAAACGTCTACGGTTATATCATGAACAACAGACGCGCAGCGCCTGCTCCAATCGCGTTCTAGACAGAAGCGACCTGCTACCGAAAGCGAAAGAGAGCGGCCAGCCTCCCAGCGGCGTCGCAACGCAACCTCAAGTTCATCCCACCATTCGTGGTACGGATCAGGGTGCTGGTCAGACACCATCCCAACCGACGTCGGGTGAACCACGGACAGGTGAGAGAGCGATGGCAATGCCTGGGGGTTGGAGATGGCGCGGAGCAACCCAGCGTGTACCGAAGAACCACCAATCTCGATCCCGAGGGTCGTGACAGACGAATACCGCGCCAGTGTATGCGAGAGCTCCACGAGATCCACATTCGAGTGCTTCAAGGTCTCAAAAGGTCCGCGACCATAGTTCTTCACGAGAATCTCGCGAATAGGCAAAACGGCTAAGCCGTGAAGAATTCGTGCGGTACCGTAGGCGACGGAGTCCAACGGAGGGAGTTGTGGTGGTTCGGCGGCATTAGGAGAAGTAAAACTTGGGCCGACCATGACGCAGCGAACTTTGCGCACTGTCTCGTCTTCAGACTTGCCGCCAGTGACTTCGACGTCAAATTGAATCGACCTATAGCACGTGATGATCTCGAGACGCGAGAAGGCTACCGCCTTCAGATCAAGAGTCATTGCACGAAGCGCATACAGTACGATGTCACGAACTCGATGGCCGACGTGCAATGGCGGGTCTTGTTCGTGTGTGGCTAACGCCATGTCCCTCACTAATTCAGCGGCGGATCTGTAGACGTCGAGTGCGTTGGGCGCTGGTAAATACGAACTTCCGTTCCACCAATACGCTGCTTCAATTTCCGTGTTGAGGGCTGTAGTTATGCCAGGGTACCCCGCCGACCACAAACCCGTGCGCGCATCTTCCATGGCTCTACGTAGAGACGCAAAGTCGCCAGGCAGAGCGTCGTTGAGTACTTCTGCTACGCGCTGCAAAGCCCAACGGTTTGGAGGGGCGGATGCATCGCATGCGAAGGAGATTTCCGCGAGCTTTTCAGCTCGAATGGAAGCCAGCAACTCCAAAGATCCACAATGAGCGCCGACCTTCAGCGTGAGTTTGTGAAGTTTGGATAGTGGCACGGGGTTCGAGGGCAAGCTGTCGGTGAAGTCCCAGACGGTACGACCCCGCAACGACACGACGTTGAGCTCTTTAAGAGCTGGCATGCCGTGTAGCATACGAAGAAGGTCGCGAAGGTAGATGTCTTGTATGCGTAGGTCGCGGGCACGAGGAGCAGCGAGAAGAAGAGGGCCTGTGAGGTCTAGAGAGACGACTTGCGGCGTGGAGACGGAGACCGCGTCAGAAGTTAACGGGTAGCTTTCTCCGCGCCGGCAATGAATCGTCAAGACCCTCAGCCGCTCCCAATGACCGTCATAACCGAGTCGTGGTGAAGTTATTGCGCGCGAGCCTGCCTGCGTGAACGTACGCGTCCAATCAATCCCGCCCACGAAGCACGGTCGGCTCAACTCGACATGGCGGAGAGTGGAAAGCTCAGATAGAAAGTCCACCATCTGCGCAACAGTGAAGTTGGCCAACGAGGCGCTTTCGACGTTGCCAGCCTTGACAACGAGTGGGGTATAAAGCGTGATGTGTCGGATGCGCGGGGCTTCGAGTGGGGAGGTGCACGAGGGCAAAGGTCGATCAGGGGAGAGGTTATAGTTGGCCTCTAGAGAGAGGACCTCCAAGTGCGGCATACGGCGCCCTTGGAGGTACAGAGTCCAATTGCGCGTGCGGCCAGATAGACCGGCGTAGACAGCGGATGCCCGATCCAAGAGCGCATCGAGGTCGGGCCAATGCAACGTTTTCCAGTAATATAGTCTAAGGGGCGCGGCATGTGCACGCCCCAGAATCGTCGACCATGCCGGTAGCTGCCTCGCGGACGCGAGCAAGATCCCCCACAGTTCACAGGTGTGAAGAGCTGTGCTGTACCACGCGCGCGAGACGCACATCGCCTGTGTTAACCATCCTATGTACGCTGGCACCACGTAGCGCCTTTTCTTGAAGTCGTGTACCGGAGCCTCTTCGGCAGTCGGAAGGAGAAAGCGCATGATGAGCGAAACGACGTCCAGGTTGAGTAGACGACCCTTCGCGCTCACGCGCCCGACGCTACTTGCGTGCCAACCGTCTATCAAAGTCACTCGTTGGCATTTGACATGTGTACAAGCACACGAATACACACCTTCCCGAATGGTCGTGGACCAGAGGCGAGCCGGTTTCGGTGCCGGTAGTCGAATGGTCGGTGAGTTGCGTTTGTGCTCCATGAAGAACGTCGGAAGAAAGGAGACGAGGCACTATGTGACACGCCGGGAGACAATTGCAAGCCGGAACAGATGATCTATCTACATGTGATTAGTGCGCTTCGGGATGACTCTGAGCTCAGTACTAAGTTCTGAAATTACATTGGGTAGCCGCATTCACGAACTGCGAAGTCGGAGACCATCGACCAGTGATAAAGACTGGCAGTCTGGCATACTACACGGTGAGCACGCCACCCCAGATTCGGCCCCAATGCCTGGGCCTCTCCTCGTTTCATACGGCAACCACACGCGCGTGGGTGCTTCAAAGCAACGGGTGAACAGACCGCGAGGAATGCTAGAGGACACGTCTTCGCGCG